CAAATCTCAACAATTATATTCTCTAAATTGTACTGCTGTGATCTGTTAAAAATAGTACCCTTTATGGTTGTGATTGTTCAGAATTAAATAAAAATTGTACTAAAACCAGACCAATGAAAATGAAAGCTGCAATTCCAAATCTTTAAGCTAAAATGCCATAACCAAGGGAAGAATGTCAGATTTTAGTGAGTCAGTTTGAACTTTTTTATTTAGGTTTACAATAATTAATAGTCTTTTTGACCAAGTATATAAAATGTTCTTGTTTGGAGAAGTGCTTTCCCAAAAAAAGTATAGCAATTTGTGTTTGATTAATCAGTTTTGCTTGATGTTTGAATAGTTGTTTGTGTAAGCTACTACTCAAACACTTATTTTTGCCTAAAGTCGATATCAAATACCTAACTTTGATAAAATAAGCACTTTTAGCTACCCATATAAGCCTCAGTCTCAACCAAGTTGGAGTCGATTATATAAATCCCAAACCTGATCATGTTTCTCCATTTAAACTCTGATACTAAACAACAACCTTTTATTTTTATTAGTTTCTCAAAGTATAAATTTTGTTGTTTCTTTTGATACCATTTTGTGGACATCGGGATGCATACGAAATGAGTGAATAGCTCATCTGCTAATCAATGTTAATACTTGGAAAAATGCATATTCTTCTTAACGAACAATCTAAGTCTTCCTATATCAGCCACTTTCTAAGTAAATATTATTTGTCCATTTAGTCAATCCCATTATCTGATTGGCTAACTAGTAAGGATGACACGAGAATGGCCATTAGATTACATTCTCAAATCTCAAGTGTATTAATAGCAATAATTTATCATAATGAGGTCTTCTTAGAGTCAAAAGGAATATTGAAAGTTGCTTGATCATCATACAAGTACCCATGGTCATGTGCCTACTGGTCAATGAAGTGGGTTGAGAACCATGAGGTCTCAAGTTCAAATTCATCTTAGACAAATATACTAGCTGATTCTTCCCTAGTGGAAAGAGCTATCCGGTACCTGTCCTGGTGGAGGAGTAGGTACCCGTGGAAATTAGTCCTATTTCAGTACACGAAAATTCCTCCTTTAATTGGAATTACACCTCTGAATAGGAAGTACATCCAATAGGATATTTCCTTGTCTGATACCTTTTGGTGTGTTTGAGGTGTAGTCTGACAAAAGACATTGCTTGTTTACTTTTCTTTCCTGCAGCAATAGATAACCTAAACTGTCCAAGCAGTGTAATGCATCCAGCTTAGTTTTACGTATTATATTTTATGTGGCTGATGTTTTCTCAAAGATTCTTTTTTCCTTCCAAAACATTCCCATTCTTCATGTAATGAGGATTTTTCGTCGGTCCTTGTAGGGGGTTGTCTGTGAAAGTGGTGTCTTCCTGCTGCACTGAATGTCCAATATTTGGTAAGGTTGAGGTTAAACATGTCATTTCTGGTCTTGCGGCATCAATCCTATTTCTCTCTCAAAGTAGCATGGTTAGTATCCTTACTATATTTTCTCTCCTAATTCCAGAGGCAAAAGTGGTACTGCACATATGTATTTGGTTGATTTGATAGAATAGTTGTGAAAGCTGAAGGTCCGGAATGATGCTTTCATGACTTTTGGGAATGCATTCTGTACGAATTAACTTAAAGAAAAAATTTCAGAAATTTTGTTAAACTTTCAAGCGTATCTTCTTTCTATTGGTAGGCTTTTGCAGCAGACCTCCCTCATTACAACAGTGTATTTCAACTTGCAAATGTCGCGGACAGCATGCCAACACTTCCTTTGGAGAAGGGAAATGATGGTGGAAAGCTGATGATGATGCGAGGCATGACAGCGAAAGACTTTGATCCAATCAGGTATTCTGGAAGATGGTTCGAAGTAGCTTCCCTTAAACGTGGATTTGCTGGACAAGGTCAAGAAGATTGTCATTGCACACAGGTTGAATGTTGAGAATGTTAACACCTGAAAAATCACGCCTTCTGTTTTCTGTCTTTTGAAGATATTTTGGGTTACTTGACTCTCGGACACATATACTTGAAGATGTCTTTTTTGGCATAATCTGTCTTTATTCCAAATTATTTCAGGGCATTTACACTGTTGATATGAATGCACCTGCTATCCAAGTAGACACATTTTGCGTTCATGGAGGACCTGATGGCTACATCACAGGCATAAGGGGAAGGGTTCAATGCCTTAATGAGGAGGATAAGGAGAAAGACGAGACTGATCTAGAAAGGCAAGAAATGATTAGGGAGAAGTGTTACCTTAGGTTTCCTACACTGCCGTTCATCCCTAAGGAGCCTTATGATGTAATTGCAACTGATTATGATAACTTCGCACTGGTTTCTGGAGCTAAAGATAAAAGCTTCGTTCAGGTAATTAATTCTTTCAGTTTAAACCAGTGTGACTTTTAGTACTGTACAAAATGTGGGTGGGTTTCTTACATATCAAATGTTTATTGCTGTCACACCTTTAAATTAATGAAATATCCCAACTAAGCAATACCATAATAGGGAGCTGTTAAAGAAGTCCCACATCCGTCAATTATGGGATACATGGTCTCTTTATATGGCCCGGGCAATCCTCACCTCTTGAGCTAGTTTTTGTCGTTGAGTTAGGCTCGAGATCCATTTCTTTACTTGAGCAAATTAGAAAAAAAAACTTTTCCTTTGTACGAAGGCATGGATACAGACACTCCCCTCAGACCTAATATCGGGTCCATTTTCTAAGTATCAAGACTTAGTATGTGAGGATGTTTTAGATAGCATTAGCATAGCCTACAGCTTAAGTAAAAGGGGTACATTGTAGATACATTTTGTAATTACGGATATATGATGTGAACTAGGATTGTTGAATACTTTTGTTGATGTTAGTGCTTGCAGGAGCGGATCTAGTGTACTGTTCATATATGGGTTCATCCAAACCCAGTAGATTTGGCTCGTACCCTGTATATATGTTAAGATGTGCACTAAATAAGTACAGATGATAGATATCAGATCCAACAAATCAAATATTTATGGTATGATCCCAAACTCGAACCTGTAATGTTCAAATCCTGGTTCCGCCTTTGAGTGTTTGAATGTCTAGTATTGTTGTAAGAATGCTGGAAGAGGCATTTGTGATTATAAAAGAAACTTGGCATGATATAGGTTATAACACAGCATAAATCTATATCTAATTCACTTGAACATTACACAAGAAGAAACATCAATTACAACTCTCAAAATTGCTGGAATTTACTTATAGTACATGATTTATCCGACTGACTAACTGATTATGCCTTTTTTCTCTCCTCAAATCAGATATACTCGAGGACGCCTAATCCAGGACCAGAATTTATCGACAGGTACAAGAACTACTTAGCAAGTTTCGGATATGATCCAAGCAAAATCAATGACACTCCACAAGACTGTGAGGTAAAGACTACCAGTCAGCTATCAGCAATGATGTCCATGTCCGGAATGCAACAAGCTCTAAACAACCAATTTCCTGATTTAGAGTTGAGACGCCCTGTTCAATTCAACCCATTCACAAGCGTTTTCGAAACTCTCAAGAAACTTGCTGAACTATATTTCAAGTAGTAAATCCACTTGATATATTACTTGTATAGTGCATAGTTCTTATGACTAGTGGCTGTAACACATTGAACTAAAGTTCAACTATGAATGACATACACTCCAGAAAAATTTGTGTGTTACTATTGGGAAAATGGTAGACATATGTGAATGACATGCTTATATTTGGTATGAGTTTAAAATATTGTGAAAAGTATCAAATTGTTTTTGTCTATTAATTTTGATATGAAAGATTTAGATGAAGTAAATATGATATTGGGATTTCAAAGTTATAATGATTGAAGATGATATAATGTGGAAAGAAATCTTAAATTGTATAACCTAATTTTAATCTTTTTTATTATTTAATATGTAATTAATAGTTCGTTTTATCAATTCTATTATTTAAATTATTTTAACACAATATTATTGAGTATCCAATGGTTCATATTGTGTATAATTGAATACTCGAAAGAATAAGAAAAGCTCGTATCTTGATTTTTATTGCTATCATTTTTTATATTATTTTATTTTAGTTTTACAATATATATTATTAAATTCATATTAGAAAAATAATTAAATTTGTTTTTTCTTCAGACATTTTCTTTTTCTTTCTCTTTCATTCTTGTCTTTTCTTCGGACATTTTCTTTTCTTCTATTATTTTCTCTTTTCCCATTCTTGTATTTTCTTTAGTCATTTTTTTCTCTCTCTTTTTATTTTCTTCTATTTTCTCTCTTTCATTTTTGTCCTTTCTTCGGTCATTTTTTCTCCCATTTTCTTTTTCTTTCTCTTTTCTCTCGTTTTCATTCTTGTCTTTTTTTCAGACATTTTCTTTCTCTCTTCTTCGGTTATTTTTTCTTTATTTTTTTTAATTTCAATTATTTTAATGTTTATTTTGAAAAAAAAGGACATCATTAATAAAAGAAATAAATATAGATTATACTCTCAATGCATTTTCAATGCATATATCGTGAACATATAACTAAAATATTTTTAATACAATAATATACTTTTAACACTATTATTAGAGAAAAACAACAATTATAATATTGTTGAATTCAATATATAATATATATTATAGGCATGTTTCAATGCGTATTTTGAATATATGACTAATATTTTTAACTTTAGTACCGTTAATAAGTGAAAATAATAAACAACAATAGAATACATTTTGAATTCAATGTATTATACACATTATAGGCTTATTCTGACGCATGTGATGAATATATAACTAAAGCATTATTAGCACAAATATGTTACAAGTATTATACGTGAATTTGAAATATTTTAGTAATATTTAAATTAGCTTATATTGTAAATATCGAAGTTATAGTAATGTGTAATATTGAATTTGATAGATATTATAATTATTGTTTATATTTATAAAATTTTAATATAACTTTAATACAAATTTATATCAAATGTAGGATAAAAATGTCATGTAAAATGTCGTATAGGACATGTGTGTTTATTTGTTCAATTTTATACAAGTTGAAGTATCAACTTGTTCACATTCACAGTTGAAAGGACATAAATGTGGTCATATGACATCATTTTAGCTTTAATAACCAGTGACATAAAACATAAAGATGACTCTTAATTTGGTTTCAGCGCTATGACCTTTAACTTTAGGTGTATATAAGAAGACATTAATACCTGTATTAAATTAAATAAATAAATACATTCATTCTACATGACACCCTACAATTTTGTATCTTACTTGACGTCTAATGTGTATTATGCTACGTAAATTCTTATATAACTCTAAATATGTTTAAAAAGTCTTCAAATATGTTTTTATGAAGCTAATTTACAAGTGGAAAATAGGTGTCAAGTGTACAAGTTTTTAATGACACGTGCCCTAACACTTGTCAAGAATTTAACTCATATTTTGGCCTATATAAGGACATTACCATTCATAAAAATATCATAAGAAAACAATTACCAAACACCTTCTTGCTACCTCTTCTCTCTTCTCTTAATTAATAAATATAATTAATTTCTTTGACTTTTTTTTATCTCATTTTCCCCACAACTAACTTCTTTGACTTTTTTTATTTTATTAAATTATATTACATTACTTAAAATAGTATAGTAGTTATTCTCAATGCTACTATTTTAGCTAAATAAATAGTTATATTATTATATCTAATTATTTTCCAACATTACAAAGCTATGGTAATCTACAACGTCCTCTCAACTTTCTCAAAATCCAATAACAATACTACTCTATGGAAAATTATCATTTCTACTATTCTTAGTAAATGGAATAGTAAATTGGTAAGAAACAATAAATCATTTCCTCCATGTCCAAAATCATGGCCTATAATTGGAATCCTTCCTCAAATCTTCACAAAGAATAAGTCATCCTTTGTTTATTGGATTCACAAAACTATGGAGGAAATGAACACTGAAATTGCTTGCATTTATGTTGGCAATGTTCATGTAATTCCTGTAACTTCTCCTGAGCTTGCTTGCGAGTTCTTGAAGATTCAAGACTCCGTTTTTTCATCTAGGCCTATTTGTATGTCCGCGAAGCTTATTAGTAATAACTACTTAACTTCTGTTTTTCTCCCCATTGGTGATCAATGGATGAAAATGAGGAAAATTCTTGCTTCTCATGTCTTATCACCATCCTCATTGCAATGGCTTCGTCCTAAAAGGGACGAAGCCATTGATGACCTTGTTGAGTTTGTTTACAAGCAATGCATCAACCAACAATTTATAAATTTGAGGAAAGTGACAAGATGTTATTGTGGGAATGCTATAAGAAATATGGTTTACAACAAGAGATCATTATTTGCAAGTAGAGAAGAAGATGAACAACAAGTTGATGCACTTTTTACACTACTTAAATATCTTCATTGTTTTGGGATATCAGATTACTTACCATGGTTAAGTATGTTTGATTTAGATGGTCACAAAGCAATTATTAAGAAAGCTTATGACATAGCAACAAAACAAATTGATATTGAAGTTGATCATAGGATTCAAATATGGAAAGATGGCTACAAAAATTTGGAACAAGACATTCTTGATGTTTTTATCATGCTCAAAGATGACAATGGAAATCCATTGATGAATGCTAAAGAGATTAAAGCACAAGTGCTTGTAAGTTAATACATTTTTTCAGTTACTCCTAAACTATGTTGTGTTGTCTTGTGTGATCATTGAAAATTATTTAGGTCAAAGTTATTAAAAAGTGTTTTTTTGTCAGAGTACTATTTGAGGATAGTCATTTTTATTTTGACTTATCAATTTGAAAAGTCTTTTTTTGTCAATTTGTATTTTGCCAAAAGGCTCTAATTAAAAAAAAAAAAACTAGCTTTTGAAAAACAATTTCTCATATTATATTACTACTTTAAAATAGTTACTATTTTTCTTAAACATTTGACCAAGTACTTTTAACTATCTATTTAAGGACTCTTGATCTCCAAAAAATTTGCCAAATAGGCAATGAATTATAATTCAGACCCATAAATATTAAATAGACTATCTATATTTATAGAAAAATACTACATTCTCGTTCCCTTCTACCTACCCTAATCTTTAACATTAATTTGAATTTTGAAATTTGAAAAATATTACTTGGAATTAATGCTCATCTAATCAGAAAGTGCTGTTGATTGCTTGCAACAAATATTTTATGCACAGGAACTCATGCTGGCAACAGTGGATAATCCCTCAAATGCAGTTGAATGGACACTAGCAGAAATGTTGAATCAACCAAAGTTAATGCAAAAAGCCATAAAAGAACTCGATGATGTTGTTGGGATGAATAGATTGGTTCAAGAATCAGATTTACCAAGGCTAAATTATATCAAGGCCTGCATAAAAGAGGCATTTCGACTCCATCCAATATCGCCTTTTAATGTTCCTCATGTATCTGTTTCTGATACCATCATCGGTGAAAAGCACTTCATCCCTAAAGGAAGCATAGTGTTATTAAGTCGACTTGGACTTGGCCGAAATCCCAGAGTTTGGAAGAATCCATTGAAGTTCAAGCCAGAACGTCACCTCAAAAAGAAAAAGAAAGATGACGGTGAAGTAGTTCTCACTGATTCAAAATTACGTCTATTGTCATTTAGTATTGGAAGAAGAGGTTGTCCAGCTGTGAAACTTGGTTCAACCATTACTACAATGTTACTTGCTAGACTTCTCCAAGGATTTACTTGGAGTTTACCACCAAATTCATCATCTAATGACTTACTCGAGTCATCGAAGGTTGATCATTTTTGTACCTTACCCCTTCTTGCTCAAGCAAAACCAAGATTAGCTAACAACATGTATCATTTTTAACTTTAGTCAATATGTATTAAAATTTACAAAGCATAATATCCAATAAGACAAATTTTATACTCAAAATTGTATCTATAATGATGAATCTATTATTATTATTATTAAAAATCAAGCACCTCTTTATACATCTTTCCTTTGTTGATGGAGGGTATTATGGTAATTTCAATGGAATTATAGTTATTTCATAAGATTTGAGTCAACTTTTTTATACTGACTGCTCAACGTACACAATTGAGCCAAACTAGAGATAAATGATTTGGATGACAATATTGAACTTTTTACTTTGTTGAAAGAGTAATTAATTCCTCAAGGACAACAGAGACTACTCTATCTATTCTAACACTCTTATAAGTAAATAAAATCTGAAAAAAAACTTAGGAAACAAAAAAGTTTATATATTCACAGAAGGTTTTAGTCGCCTGCAAAATTATATACATAATCTTCAAAAGCTCGAAAAATGTTTTTGGTTTTAGTCTCTTTCTCTAATGCCATTTGTATCAGCACGTTCAAGTCTACTTGTAAAACTTTGCAATGCAGGTGGGGATTTGCATGTTCCCTCCTCATCTTCGTCCTCGTCCTCATCCTCTGCGTCTAATTCTTTCTTGTTCCCTGATAGAAACTCCAAAGCAGTCACCACGTCGCTCATCAAAGGCCGTGTCCCAGCTTCCTCTTGCAAGCACATTGCTGCTATGGCTAGTGCTTGGTACAATGCCTTCATTGGATAATCCTCTCCCATCAATGGATCCGCCATTAAATGAAACTTCGTCTTGTCTCTGAACAGTGGTGTTGCCTGCATATATAACAACAATATAGGTCAAAATGACATAACCTTATCTTTAAGCACATTGAAAACTTTTGTAACTTACCCACACAACAAGGTTCTGTTCTTCGCTAGGTAAGGAGTTATCAATAACTCTTCTTCCTGTGATGATCTCCAAAAACACAACTCCAAAGCTGTAAACATCAGATTTAGTGGTCAATTGACCGGTGGAAGCATACTCCGGTGCACAATATCCGTAGGTTCCCATGACCCTGGTGGAAACATGAGTCTTATCACCAGTTGGACCTAGCTTAGCTAGTCCAAAATCAGAAAGCTTAGGATTGAATTTCTCATCTAGAAGTATGTTGGAAGCTTTAAAGTCGCGGTAAATTACTGAAGGATTAGCTGTTTCGTGCAAGTATTCAAGTCCTTTTGCTGCTCCTTCCGCGATTTTCATCCTTGTAATCCAATCAAGTGGCTTTTGTTCTGGACCAATCTCTGCCAAAACAAAGGTGTCAACTATAGAGATGCTAAAAGCCATGGTATGAATGAATAGTAATGCATACCAAGAAGATGATCTTCCAGTGAACCATTTGACATGAACTCATATACTAATACTCGTTGATCACCGTCTGAACAGTATGCTTCCAAAGTAACAAGGTTAGGGTGATGAAGAAGGCTCAACAACAGAACCTCCACAAGGAACTCTCTGTTTCCTTGGAACCCATTCCTATCAAGCTGCTTTACAGCCACGTCCTGAAAAAACAAAACACATATATATACTGTTAATAACTAAAATAATATAATGTTGGATACCGAGAGGTTTCACTGTACGTATACGTCTTGGATGACTGTTACAGAGATGTTTGACTATACGTAGATTTTGAAGAAACTTGTGAATTTAGAGTATTTACTTTGTTCTTGCTTTGAATGTGGCCCTTGTAGACTTTCCCAAAACCACCTTCACCAAGCAAACACTCAGAGTCAAAGTTGTTAGTTGCAAGACACAAGTCATTGTATGTGATTGTCTGAGCTGAAATGTTTCCTTTCCCATACTTTTCTATCTCTTCAACTATGTATTTCCTTCTACTGCTATCTGCACAATATACACAATGTCGCTAAGGGTTTGACAGGACGTAGTAGCTTTGACTTCAAAACTTTGTATTTATTTTAAAAAATCATATAAATAATCTATTCAGAATCTAATAAATAAGAGAAACTCTGGTTCAGAACCCATAAACTAAAAATTCTGACAACATGAGGGTTTGGGGGTGTGGGGGGGGGGGGGGGGATCATATGTTTGTCTGTTGGGGTTATTCATTTCATTGTTCTTCTTAGCCACCAAATGTCTGTATCCTTCGCAAAAACTCAATGATTTTGGCTCGAACCCTGTATTTTTGTTAAGAAACTCATTTAATATATACAAATACTAACCAAAACCCAACAAATAATAATTATGATCCAGAACGCATAAACTAAAAATTCTAACTTTGTCTAAGACAGATGAGAAAAGGCATGTAATTCAAAATAAATACATGCCAATAATAACAATAATTATGTGCATGCATGGGATGAACATAGAGATGAATTTACCAGTTTTAATAGAAATGTTGGCAAATGAGGCAATAGATTTGGTATCTTTTTGTTGTTCTTGATGATGAATACTTTTTGCCAAAGAATTTGTATGATTAATTTTGTCCTGATCTGATGATGATGACATACAACATGAAAAACAGAACATTCTCACTTCATTATTTTCCTCCCTTTACAAAAAAAACATGATATCATATCTTATAAATTATAATATTCATACAATCATCATAATAAAATATGGAATTTGTCAAAAGATAAGGAAAAAAAATTGTTAACTTCTTTGATCCCTGAAAGAGTCAAATTCTTTTTTTTTTGGGGGGTCTCTCAGGAAATCAAAAGAAAAAAAATTATTTCTAATCCTATTTAGCAAAATGTTGTTTTACCTGCCTAGTCATGAATGACCCAACTATTTCGGGAGGGAAAGGATGATATAAAAGTATTTACTAAAGTCACGTAAAATCTAATTAACGGTGAAAAATTTTTACCGATTTTTTTAATGTGATGTGTAAATCTCATTTATTTTTCATATCCCGTAATAGTAGGTCAAATAATAACATTTTTCACGGAGTTTATGACCAAAACTTTTATACACTACTACTTTTCCTCTTGAGTTGGAGCACTAGAAACTCATTTCAATTAAGTAGTATTAAAAAACGCACCTTATGCACGTGCGTTATATTTATGCAAATAAATTTTTAACAAGTAACAGTTAAAGAGAGAAAAAACAACAAATAAATTAAAATATCTTTCTTAACAATGTTTTCTCGTGATACAACAAAGCTTAAAATCGATACGAAATTAAACACGCTATATCTGGAAATGCTTCGTATTTATTGTGATGCCTATTTGAGTGCTCTAACTCCCTACCATAATTTTTTCCCCTCTTTGTCCAAGAGTTTATGAAAGTATGCCTGTTACCTCCGTGGCTCCATCTAATAACCGTCTCTTCCATCAAAATTTTGTTACTCTCGTTAGAGGCGGACCCACCTGTATCACTACGGGTGCACGTGCACCCGTTAGCTATGGAAAATTATGTGTATATATACATATACACTTTGAGATAGACATGTATTTTATTAGGCACTCAAAGACACAAAAATCAGTTAGGTTAGCTGATTTAGACACCGAATTTCTTTGAGGACGGATTGAATGTCTTTAAATTCTAAATTCGCCTCTAATCTTTGCCATTGATGGACTTCACTTGATCGAGGTCAGCACCCCTTCTTTTCTCTCACGTACGATTTCTTATCTCTACCTTTGTCCTTTAATTCTACACACATGTGTTCAAAAACTATTATCTTAGCGGTTGTACGTTAGGTTCACATCCTTCTTTGTCAAATTATACCTTACCCTAAATTTTAATATTAAGTCAAATCTTATCATAAATTATAGGTTAGAAAATAAGTTTACTGTAGTCCTTAATAATACTCCAAATTCCAAAAGTACCGAGTCACCGACGGAACACAGCAAGTAGAATAAAGGAACCGGGTTCATCTTCCGGTCCAACCATCTGATTAAAAAGACTTGACCGGTCCAATTTTCGTCCAGAATCCAGTGAGGCAAGCAACAATGGAGTCAAGTTGGTGTAAGGTATTACTTTACCTAACTCTAATTACCAATTTGACCCTACAAGGTGTAAGAGGTTGGACTGGAGAGATTCATGGAAGAGTTGTTTGTGATGTTTGTGCTGATTCCTCTGTTGGTCCGGAAGACCATGTTCTACAAGGTTCCTTCTTTACTCTTAATAATACTGCTACAATCTTGAGAAAAATGAAGTAGTTTTTGTTTTTGTAAGTGAAAAATGGTTTTTGGGATTTGGGTTGTGCTTTACCATGAATATAAATTTGAGTGAACAACTTTTTCGAATTTCAGAATTTTTTGAAATTTTATGCCTAAACATGAATTCAATCCTGAAAAATTTAAAAATGTTCATGGACAAATTAGCCACTAAATGAGTTGGGTATACAACCTATGGTTCGAATCCGTTGTTATATGTTTGCTATTAGCTTTTGTTGTTATTGATGTAAGTTGAGAGATTTACTAATTTTATTGATTGTCAGAAAAATCGGGGTAGGAGAATTGGGAGGGGTACAAGGGGGGAATTAAATCTCTCGTTAGCGAGTTTTGAAGTTCAGATTGTCAACCAATTGAGCTACTAAGATTCCCCAAATTGTAGTGTTTTCAGAATCATGTTAGGCATTTGTTTTTTGCTTTGATTAAATGATTGTTATATTTTATGCTGGATGCTTGCTGATAGTTTCAGAAAAGTTGGCCTGCTTTAAGAATTTGTGTTTTCAAAGCCAAATATACGGGTGTTTGTACCCTATGGATCACTAAAGTTTCAAACTTTCAACTTTGTTATCAGTCCTAGGCCGTTTTGGATAACTACACTCGTTTGGCTCCTAACAGATTCTATCCTTCTATGTCATCCAGAAAGGAAGTAAACTTATTTCTTCATTTCTATTTAGTTACTCTTTTCATTTTCTAAGTTGGTTGGTTAAAAGGAGATGAATACTTCTATTTTGCATTGAAACCAAAGCATTATGTTCATGAACCTAGTTACAAGTTACAAGTAAGCTAAAGCATTGGATGTCCTAATCACTAAGTTCTTATTACTCCTTCCATCCCAAATTACTTGTCATTTTTTGCTTCTCGAGATTCAAACTACATGAACTGACCCATATATTTAGATGTATTTTTTCACCGTATTGATATATAAGAAGAATAGCAACTTATAGTACTGCCTTTATAGTTTTCAGATAGTAATTTTAAAATATTGAGTTTATCTAAACCAATATAGCTCCGAAGATTAGTCAAATTGACTCTTGAGAAGCGAAGTGGCAAGTGTTTTGGGATAGAGAGATGAGTGAGTCACTGATTGACAATAAATGCAACAAAAAATCACAAGAAGTTTCATTGGACTTCTAGTAAATGGTGCGTCAATTATAGAAATCAATTTACTTTGGGTAATCTTATGGTGACATTGTTAAGAATATTTCAAAACATGTTTTTTGCTAACCAATAAGATTTGAACCCTGATGGACTATTTGTTTTATTTGATATTCGATACTAGTGAAGTAAAACGGATTTGTTAAATAATGAAGAGGACTAAATAATGCCCTCTGTTTCCTCTCCTTCCATGTACCTGTCAGTACACACTTGCATAGATATATAGGCTGGGCAACTCTCTATACTTTGTGTGCTCCAGGGAAAGAAGTTATTATATACCAATATTGACACCATGTATTTATCTCCTTTTTTATGGAACTGTATAGATTAGAATCTCTCCCGTTACAAAGTTCTGTTGAATCTGTAAAAGCAAAAGTTAAAGCTGATGGGCTTGGAAGCACAAGGAAATTCTTGGGATGTGTATTCAAGTAGTGACACAGTTGCACTAGTGGAACACCATTGTACATCACCCTTAATCTCATCCGTGAGAATAGAAAATTAAGACAATCTTACTGCACCAGTAAACTAAGTTGTGCAGACTCTTTACTTTCTGTGCCGCACTCGTGTTGGATTCTCCAAAAATACACTACTTTTGGAGAATCCGACACACACCTGTTGACACTTTTGGAGAGTTCGAGCAACATAGTCACTAGATGCCTACTGTTACAGTAATTCTCTACTTCAGTCTTCCTGCTACCTTCTATCCTTCTGTTTGATTATCCTGCCATGCTTAGTTTATCCTTACATTTCCTTGATTATAGACTTTGCTACTTCATATGCTTTTGTTGTTTGGTATTTGTCAATGATATTGGGGCTTATGGAAAATGGGTGCCAATATAGTGTCATAGAAAGCCAGGCACTTGATTTATGACTCATTCATATTAGGCTTCACTTATTAGCCAACTCCAAAAGTCTATCGAGAATTTCCACGTTGAATTCTCCTAATTTATCAAAAAGTAAAAGCAATCTCAACAAAAGGGCATGACTGGATTATTTGAGTGTCAATATTACTCATGGGTACCATGATAGTTTGGTTGTTCCACTAATGATGTCATGATGGTGAGAAGGGTAACACGCCCAATGTCTATCACCATTTTAGCTCCTCCTTTTTTCCTAACCACCTATAGCTAGATGAAATACCATGTTGAACAGTTGCTTGGTGTTCTTCTTTTAGGCAATGTTAATCTGATTGGTAGGTCCTAGTTTCTCTATCCTTCTTCCCCACTTCTGGTTCCAGCCATTTCATTTCATGGCAAATTTTACTTTTCACCCCATTCTTGTTGTCTAGAATATGCTCTGGCTTGTACTCTAGCACATTTTAAGGTCAAATTAACGACCATTCAAAATTTAAGGCTGCGATAAAAAATCTCTTTATTGGATTCTTATGGGATAAAACACAAGCATTAGGTACTCATGTGCATAATTTTTACTTTCAAATGTTTTAATGTCATCTCATAATAATAGATGTTACATTGTGCCTCTATGGTATAATTTGTCTCTCTGGACATCTTTTGGTATCAAAACTTTAGGCAAATAAGGCATAGAATAAAGTGTTCCTACTCTTTTTGGTTTGTCAACTACGTTTCTGCTGATGATTGTGATTGTGTGTCCTGTTTATGCTGCTTCAACACGCAATGCAAGACTATCCTATCCACGGATACATGTATAATAATAACAATTCACTTCTCATTGTATCTGAAGGCGGTTTATCTTATTTCCTTGTTGCAGGTGCAGAGGTTGCAGTTCTTTGCATTACGAAGACTGGGGAAGTTCTGAATTATCAGGCATTCACAGACTCCAAGGGGATATATAGAGTGGCTGAGACAATGCCAGCGAGTGATCGTTGGGATGCATGCCTAGCAAGACCTATCAGCAGCTTCCACGAGCACTGTACACGTCTGGGAGATAGCAACTCCGGGGTGAAGTTCAGCTACAATCATCCTTCAGGATATTCACACACAGTCAGACCATTTGTATATCGTCCCACCAACGTTCCAACTTACTGCATCTAATAAATATATATAATGTATCATATGGTACAAGCTATGTAAGAAAGCTTGTTTCTGTTATTGTATGTATCCTTGGTTGCCTTGATTTTATTGAAAATCCAGTAGCAATCTGGATATATCTGGTAACACTTGTCTGTTCAATTTACTCAGATAAATTGATGATTTGATTAGTGTAAAGATAGTCAAATTATGATGGATGCTTGTAGCAAAGAATACATGGTATGCTAGGTACAACAAACATACCAATGAAATCCAGAAGTCGAGTCTAGGGATAATAGATTTTACTGCTATTTCGTGGGAAAGATCGTGAGAAATTTATCATTAATATTTATTTAGATAATAATGATAAAAAATAATTAAAATATATTTTGATACATTTAAATATATTTAATTTAAAACTA